GGGCCTCACGCATGCCAGGCGAGAGCGCTACCGCTTGAGCCACATCCCCAGCCCCCCATAAAATTTTTTAGGAGGGTATCAAGGTATTTTCGAATTTTTTAAAGTACCATTAACTGAGACAGGAACATCATAAGTTCAAGGCCAGCATAGGCAATTTAGCAAGATTCTCTCTCAAAATACAAATTTTTTCAAGAAGAAAAATTAAAATACAACATGAGTTAATCGTTTTTCCATCAGATCTAGTTAGTGTGCACATTAAAACATTTAACTAAGAGGTTTATTAAATGCATATTCTTATTATATGTAGTATTTCATTTTCTCTTTCATTTTTAGTATAGCTCCTTGTGACTGCTCTGTTGATTTCATGACCACTGACTGAAGTGAAAATACGGCCTAGTGCTGTGAAGGTAATGTCACAGAAGCACTCTGCTCTCAGTGGTGCTCCATTGCTTGTGCTAGGGAGGGTGCAGGCCTCAAGGCCTCCTCACTCCTGGAGGCTGGGTTAGGTCTGAGCGTGCATTTTCTCCTTTCCCCACTGGATGCTCAGCTTCTGAGGGCAAAGATTTACCTTGTTGATGATTTCATTCTCAAAACCCTAGCACAGTGTTCAGCACCTGAAAGGCAGTGTGGAAACCTGTAAGATGAAGGGTGGGGACGGATGCAGAGTTGACATGGGCCTAGGGGCTGAGGGTTGGCTGGAGCGCAGGATCCCTTGCTCTCCCTGCAAGTGCTGAAATGGGAATGGCAAGAAGGCCTCTGGGAGCACTCTTAGAGGACAGAGTGGACCAGGCAGATGAGGCACCAGGGGTCTTTCAGACCACTTGCAAAGGCTCATAGACTGCAAGGAGGAGTGGTGTTATTGAGGTAAACTTTTCTCTCACTTAAAAAATAATTCACAAAATTACTAACAGAGAACTTCCATGGGCCTTTCAGCTGAACTCAGCAAGGTGGTGTTGGGTGGCCTAGGGCAGAGCTGCTGCCCAGGACACAGGAATTCCGCCTTTGTGTCTCCCTAGCTAATGCTGTGTCCCTGCCTTAGCCGGGGCCTGGGAGAGGACTGGTCAGAGTCAGAAGGGTTGGAGATCCAAGGAAGGGGCTGAGCGGAGGATGTTTTCCAGATCCGAAGAGGGAGGGTCGGTGTGTTTTTGTCAGTCACACAAGAACTGTTGACATTCCTCCCCTGGCTGCGCTGCTCACCTGCCCTTCTGCGCGTGATGCCAGCCGTGTTGTCTGAGCTGTCGTGAGGAGTAATTGGTGCTTCTGTTCCTTGGGGTTTGGGGGAGAGGAGAGCGTCTATTAAAATTGATGCCTGTTATAAAGTCAGGTCTGTGGCCCAGCAATACTTTGTTAGCATTTCTTCTAGGGGAGAAGAATGAAGCCTGGTCTTTTTTTTCTTCTTCTTCTTCTTCTTCTTTTTTTTTTTCTCCTCACTAATAGGAAAGAATATGTCTGGCCACCTTGCTGCATTTTTTTAAAGATCATTATTGAAATTGGCAGAGTATTACTCTTCAGAAAGAATTTCTTATATTGTAGGAAGCCTCTTTTCCACAAGAAGTTCATTTTCCCATATGTAGCCCAGGCAGCTTCCTATTATGTCGTGTGCAGGGTAAATGAGAGCCACCTCGTGTGCGCGTGTGCTGAAATTGAGCTGAGGGGAACTTTGAAGCAAGACGAGGCGTTGTCAACCAGCATGCACCATTAACAGGAAATAGGACTGATTTTATTCAGCATTTTTCCTTCTTTACAGTAAAATGACTGTAGTTACCATTAAATTGAACTTGATAGACATCCCATCTGCCTCCCTGCAGACTGAGGAGAAGTCACCTGTCCCTGGAGCTGGACATATCAGTTTGCTGTATGAGTGCCCAGTGACCCTTCATCTCACTGCTGGTTTTCGTTTTTGGGCACCAATTTGGGAATGCTGCCTAAGGGAACCAAGCTTTAGATCACATGCTTTAGCATTGGGCCACAGCCTTTTCCTGGACAAGGGAGAGTGTTTGTCCTTCTCAAGCTCTGCCAACTCAGAGAGCGGGTACTCTGTATATCGTTTGGTTTTGTTTTGGGTGGTGTGGCCTCAGTAGTCCTTGCGTCTTTGGGATGGTTTCGAGTGCAATTTTATGTTTAGTCTCTGAGCATCTCCACCTGTCAGCAGAGCAGTTGGCTGTCAGAGGTGCCGCTGTTGCGCAGAGCCTCTGTGACACATACATTGCCAACAAAAAGGCATTTCCATTTCTGTGGCGAGCACAGAATTTGGAGTGGCCTTTAACAGAAGACTTTGAGTGTTCTCTTGAGTCTCCTGAAGTCCCCACAGCAGCGGTGCCCTGTTCTGTTGCCATGGCTTTTCGTGTAGACAGACATACCTGAAGAGCATTGTCCTTTTTTTTTTTTTTTCTAAGAGAGAGGTGAGAGAGAGAGAGAGAATTTTTTAATAAATTTATTTTTTTTAGTTTTGGGCGGACACAACATCTCTGTTTGTATGTGGTGCTGAGGATCGAACCCAGGCCGCCCGCATGCCAGGCGAGCGCATTACCGCTTGAGCCACATCCCCAGCCTAGAGCATTGTCCTCTTGATGTCTCTAACCCAGTAGCCTGCTGGACCAGGAGTTGCCCTCTGACCTCATTGCATGTTGGGGCAATAGGTACCTCTCTTCCCTGTCCCTGTTTCAAGATATTCAGTTCTTCTTCAATGGTTTATTTACCTTCTAGAAGAGAAATTGGAAAAGATGAACTTGACTCAGAAAGGAGCAGCTGAGCAGACCCACAGGCACTCTGCCTGGACCTCCTTCAGTGCATTCTTTTTATTCCCACTGCCTTTGGTTGTGAACAGTCCGCTCTCCCCACCAAAAGCAGTCAGGGCTGAGTCTTTCCAAGCTGGGGATTGTGTATGTGAAATGGGACTCGTGAGCACTGCCAGTCCAAACTGAGAGTATTTGTGATATTAAAATTGGGTGTGCGGGCTGGGGTTGTGGCTCAGTGGTAGAGTGCTCGCCTCACAGGTAAGAGGCCCTGGGTTCGATCCTCAGCACCTCATAAACACAAATAAATAAAATAAAGATATTATGTTCAACTACAACTAAAAAAAAAAAACTGGGTGTACAAAAAGAGAATTTAAGTCAATTAAAAAACATTTCTCTTATCCCTGAGATAAGCAGATTAACAGTGTATAATGTCGATGTTTTGGCTACAGACCATTATCTTGCTATTGATCAGAAGAAATATGGTATTTCTGGATCAATAGCTTCAGCAAACTCATCAGCTGTCTTTACCTTTTGGAACATAGTTTCTCTCTGCTTTTTCTTCTTCCAGAATGTCATTATCTGGTTCCTTTTCCTTTTGTCTCTATGACCAGCTACTATCCAGAGAATGACAGGGTCACATTTGAACAGGAAGACAAGCAGTTGGAGTTCTGTGTATATGTTAAACCTTTTTGCTCTTTGTCCTGAAGTTGATGTCATTGATCCTTTCCCACTTACCTCTTATCTATCCTTGTAATGACTTTCCCCAAAGACATATTTTTGAATGCTCTTTTTAGCATCTTGTATGATACATTGAGTTCTTTGTAATATGTTTGGTTCTTAGACTTTTTCATTGTCTGCTGGATGTTTTCTAAGCTGCATTTTCCAGGAGAGAAATGCCACAGAATCATTTTTTGCTGATGATTGGTGAAGGAGACACTCATCAATAGCTGAAAGAGGAGAAATTGGAACACAAAGCATAGCTAAAGTGGTTTTGTGGGAATGTGATTACGGAGTCAGTTTTAATAAGAGACTGTTTGGCACTGTTGTCTCTGTGAAATGGGCTTCAGAGGCGGCTGTACCTCTTGGTGTCCACTGCATGTGTTTGGAGGGCCATGGTGGGCCAGGGAAGAGGCCTGGGAGGGAGGAGGCCTGATCCCCTTGGAGCTGCTTGTGCCCTTCAGAGACAAGTGGGAGCCTGGGGGCTGTCCCCTCCCTGTGGCTGCCAGGAACATATGTGCCTGTTCTTAGTGACTGCAGCTGCCTGGAGCAGTCCTTAACAATGCTTCCAGGAGGGTAAATCTTCTCATTTGTTTTTAAAAGAGAGAGAAGGAGCCGCTCAGTCTTTACATTGAGTTTGGATCCAGAGCAGGAGGGAGGTAGGAAGTTAGAGGGATTTAAGCGAGCAGGATTTTCTCCCAGGCCTCTCAGCATGTGGACACACAGATCAATTTCTTATCCTGCGTTCAGCTGGACACTGGGTTAGAGACTGTTGATCAAGACGTCCCCTCCTGTTTCATATCATATAACGCATTCATTTCAGCCACTGAGCCTAAATTACTGTTTGCTTTCTTTCTGCCTTCCTTCCCCCCCGAAATGGTAAGAACTCGTACAAGGATGAAGTTAGTTTATCCGTGCTAATGCTTTGATTTTTCTTTTCTCTTTCTCTTTGCCACAGTAGGTAACCAGTTAGGGGCCTTGGTACATCAAAGGTAAGCAGTGGGTTATGTTTTATTATTTATTGATCATTTCTAATTGTTTATTGATCCACCATCTGTACTAGAGTGTTAGAAAGTCAGAGGTTGGGAGTGTGAGAGAAACCATGGGCAAGATTTCTTTAAAACTCCAGGTTTTTGCCAGCCCTTTCCAAGACAGTATAAGCCCAAGGGATGGTCTGATACAAGATATTAAAAAGCAGGTGTTTTGTACAAAAACTTAAATGACTTCCATCGTGTTGGAGCTGCTCTTTTTTTCCAACATGTTTAATTTAAAAAGAAAGAATATGACGTTATCCCACCTGGTTTTATGGCTTTCCCAGTGTTTTATGAATTCTTAGCTTCTTCACTGGAGCAGAGTTGGGGTCTTGGCCCACTGGAGGTGCTGATGGTGCTCAGGGAGTGCTCAGGTTTCTGGCTGGGGAAGCCAGAAACTAGGGTTCTAGCCCCACCATGGGGACAGGGTCTCACTTGCCAGAGAACCTCAGCCAGCTGGCTGGTGAGTCCTCTGCCTGTTTCCCTCAGCCTTCCTTCTGTTAGTGTTGAGGATTTAGAAAGCTGTAAAGATCTGTAGGCCAGCAGTAAGATAGGATATTGTGGCTTCACTATTATTCTTAAAAAAGGAAGTAGGACACAGGAAACTCAGCTGTTCTTTCTCTTTAGTGAGGAATCTTACTGACACCTAGATCCCTTGACCTTGTGTGGATATGTTTTACCCTCTATGTTCCGCATGAATGTTGGGGAGTTTCTAGAAATCATCAGGTATTAATTAACCCAGACATTTATCCTGGGTTTTCTTGCTGATTCCTTGTTTGCTTTGTTTGTTAATGAATTAAGATAATTTAAATGAGGAATGAAACACTGGCTGTCCTACGCCGTACTTAGGATGTTTCTTTCCAAAATGTCTATGCCAAACCTGGTAGTCAGAGTTCAGCCTCACATTTAGAAAAGAACCTTTTCTTCCAAGAAGCCCAAAGCAGCTTGTCTCGGTACATCTCTTCCCCAGAAAGAGTCTGCTGATGTTGTTCCTGAGGGCCAAGGAGCTGCCCGAGCTCCATGACATTTCGTGTTGTGTGTTGAAGGCCCTCTAGTCAATTCCCGCGTAATGTTTTCTGAGAGTAGACAGCTTGTGCTCCATGCCATGGGAGCAGCAGCCTCTCAGTCACGCGCACAGGAGTGCTGTCATCCTGGAACAATCAGGATTCGCCTCCTGACAGGAACCCAGCGTCTGCCGCAGGATGTTAGGCCAACAAGGGTTGGTGTCGGCTTCCACGGCAATGCTGATTAGTAAGCTAGGAACTGCCTGATTTGGGGTGAAAACACACATCCTGAGGGAGGAGACAAGCTGGTCCTTGCAGCCAGGCCCGAGGACAGGAGCTCCTGGAGGAGGTATTGCTGCCTCTCAGGGACACAGCAGCAAGAGCTGTGGATGCTCTTGCATTTCTTATAAGCACTGCGCTTGCCTCAAACCCACACTTCATTCAGTCCTTTCCATGGTGGGGACAAATCCAGCTGTATGAAAGATGTTTAGAAATGCTTGCTTTTTAAAAAAAGAAAAACAAAAAACCTACTTGGATTTAGCTTCTTCCCAAGGTACATGTGTAGATTTAATTGCTTTCTGGGGTGTTGGGCAAATTGGATATTGTCCATGATCCCTGTTTTGTTTGAAAGAGGCAATGCAGGGGTGTGTGTGTGTGTGTGTGTGTGTGTGCGCACGCGCCCACGCCCGTAGGATTTTTGTTTTTTATTGTTTGTTTTGCAGTAGAGGGGGATTGGACATAATAGGTGAAATAGCATTTAACGGAAGTACTTTGCAGAGTAAGTGAGGTGATCATTCTGTTCTGGTCAACACTGATTAGGCCTCCGCTGGATACTGGTTTCATTTGGGGCATTTCACCTTAAAAAAACAGATAAATTGGAGAGAGGCAGAAAACCATAAAAAGGCTGGGAGATCAGGAATGTCAAAGTAAAGTTGAATATCTCTGGTCTAGCGAGAACACTGTAGAAGAAGTCTACACATCTCCCCAGGCCCCAGAGGATCTGTAAGGAAAGACCCTGGGATTGATGCCTCAGGCAGAGGGAGGACCTGGTGAGATATAAGTTAAGCAGCTGTATACAGAATGGAGGTGGGGGGCTTGTGGCCCAGAAGTTTCTTTCTCTGACCCAAGGAGACAAAGACGCTGGTTTTGAAATAGCCATTGACCAAAGGTTCATTGATGGCTCTCTGTAGAAGCTTGTGATTCGTTGGCTAAATTGGCACAATTTATTTTAACCCTTGAAAATTGCCAGTTTGGGAAGCTGGGGAGTCTAGAGTGGCTGCAGAATTCTATACTCTATATATTTTTTTCCAAAATATTCTTTGTTTTTAGGGCAGTAATAACAGAAGAATTCAAAGTGCCTGATAAAATGGTTGGATTTAGTAAGTATCCACATTGTCTACTTATCCTCTAATTCCTATCTTCTTTTTTTTTCTTTGCATGTCACCTGTAGTAGAATACTTCGCATGTATGTTCCCCACATCCCTAAAGTACTGCAGATTTCTCTCCAGGCCAAGGGAAAGACCAGAGCTTAGGGTCATAGACACCCTTGTCCCCTGCTCCAGCTACAATACCCTGTATCTGTCTGCTGTGTTTCACATGCAGTTTCCTTTGGTGTAGTGCCCAGAGAGTTGAGATGGGCTCACAGGGGCCAACTTAATTTGTAGTGAGCAGTGGATGAAGTGTAACTGTTGAATTAATTCTGTCATTTGTGCATGGTTAAATACAGAATGAGAGGTATATTCTGACTTTGTTCAATTTGTTTCAGTTATCGGCAGGGGAGGTGAGCAGATTTCGCGGATTCAAGCAGAATCTGGTTGCAAAATTCAGATTGCTTCAGGTAAGGGCTTCTTTTTCACAGATCTCCATTTGATAGAAATAAGTATTTTGCACAGTTTTCCAGAGATGGTACCTTTGCTTGTTGCTTAGAAGTTTGGGGGTTTTGGTAAGTATATGTGATTGCTGTCTCCTTGCACCTCTGGAGTTGGACTCCCACATAAGCACCAAAGCAAAAGCCAGTCCAGAGATAGGACTTTGGTTTGGCTTCTGGGGTGGACCTTCCACAGCTCTGTGGCCAGGCATGGCTCCTTCCTAGCACCTGCCAACTATGTTTTCTGCACCAGAATATTACGCCAGACACAGTGGGGACTGCATCCTGGCCCCCCAGTGAGCTATCCTTCCCATTGTAGAATGAGGACACCTGTGGTTTGGGTTGAATTAGCCTGTTTCATACACATTTCAGGACCTTTCCTGGCAGGGTTGGTTTTTGACCACACAATATGGAGAGAGATGGATTGAAGAACAGTTTTTATTTTTTTATCATCTCATATGAGTTTGAACTCTTTCCATTGAGGAAGAAGGGGTCTAGAGGACGTTCAACTAGAAGAATGTCCTAATGTTAAAGAGGTGTCTTTACCATATCTTGAAAGCATTAACTGCTGGTGGCTATTTCTCTTTCAAGTTTTTGAGGAAGGATTTTAAGAAGTACTTTTTTAGGAACAAATTGAAGCATCACATGAGCAGCTGGAAAGAAAGATTTTCCTCTCTTGTCAAATGGCCCAGGACCAGCTCCACATAGCTGTTACTGATCTCTTTGGATATTCATGCAATAACTGGTAGTAGTCATGGGTGCTTATCGTTAAGTTCCTTAGCAGCGTGTCTCAGAGCTGTTTGCGATTGTGTGACCGTTAAACTGCTCTACAGGTGGAGAAACTGAGGAATGGCATGCCACAGTGACTCGAGGAACGACTAGCTTGTGGGCGGGTCAGAGCGAAGCTGAGGCTGGTGGCTAATTCTCATCTGCATACCTCTGTGTCCTGCCACCTCCCTGTGGGACTTGTTTCCACTTTGAGAACCTAGGGTGGAGCTGCCAGCTTCGTGTTCCATCCCCATGCAGAGGAGACTGTCCTTTTGGGGAGACTGGGCTTCTGTGGAGCTGGTGTAGGACCCAGCACCAGAGAGACAGTCTGCACACAGAGGCAAAGGCACACAGTCGCTGATGCCCACCAACACACCTCATCTTCTTGGTTCTTCTTATAGAGAGTTCTGGGATTCCAGAGAGGCCCTGTGTACTTACCGGAACCCCAGAAAGTATTGAGTAAGTTTATTTTATTTACTTTTCCTTTCACTCTTCTTCCTCCTTCCCCAAAAGGGGAGAAATGGAAGGGCAAAATGGTCCCTGAACACTGTCAGTCTGGACTGCAGTCTGGACACACAGCATATGCTCCGACAGGACAAAGATCTGGGAGGTCGCCACACCTGGGGAGCTTTTCTATTACCAAATACACAAGGTACTGCCTCTTCCTTAACCCTGCAGGGTGCCTCACGGCCATCTCCTTCATAAGCCAGGCTTTAGGAGCAGACATGCACCCCACCTGAACAAGCTAATCAACTTCTTCTCAAGAGTTAACGTCTCCTTTTCCTGGGCAGGGCTGGAAGAGAGGGCCTATCAGGCTGTGAGCTACGTAGAGCCTTAGCACCAGATCTTTTGCCTGGTCTGACCCCTCACCCTCTAATATTTGTGAACCAGTTCTTCATTCTTTGTGACTTTTGCTCTACAGAGTGTTGTATAAACCAGCCAGAGGGCGTCTTGACTGTTGGGCCCCTCGCAGCTGCCCTAAGACTGGCATTGCTTTCCTCTCCTGGTTCGCACATGCTCAGAGCCTCGTACCAGATAGATGTAGGCCTCCTAAACCAGGAACCTCCTAGGGAAAGGGGATATGCTGACTCTAAGTCATCTCACTTTCCTTTTTCAATCTATTGAGTAGCATTGCATATGGGCACAGGGCGCTAAGATTATGTCTGGCTCAATAGGTAGAATTGTTTTATTGTTTCCATTTCTTAGGAGTCTAGATGAGTTTAAATTCTCTTTTTCTCTATAACATTGCAAGTAGTGAACCAGAATAAATGTCCCTGGCAGGTGTGCATTATAGGGCAAGCTGGATGGTTTAGCTGGAGTCAAGGCATTTTCCTTCCAGCACAGGTTAATCTAGTGCACTAGCAAAATATTAAAAAGCTGCTGTAACTGAGAAGATACGCAAAGCTGATTCTGTACACAAAATCTCAAGACTATAAAAAGCAACACCCATTTCCTACCTCTCTCTCTCCTTCCTTCTACCTCTCTAACCATTCCTGCTTTGTGTCTTCCCAAGGAGTTGAGGCAGTGGGATTTTAGCTTGGGGAGGAAGTAGTCTTGCCTTTTCCAGCCTGTTTGGTAGCTGACTCCTCCTCTGACTCAGGAACCAAAAAATAGATGGTGTTTGGCAGTTTAAAGAATGGATTCTGGCAGGCGCAGGGACTCATGCCTGTAATCCCAGCGGCTCAGAAGACTGAGGCAAGAGAATTGCAAGTTCAAAGCCAGCTTCAGCAACTGTGAGGTGCTGAGCAACTCAGTGAGACCCTGTCTCTAAGTGAAATATAAAATATGGCTGGGGATGTGGTCGAATGCCCCTGAGTTCAGTCTCTGGTACTGAAAAAAAAAAAAAAAATTGGGTTCTGTAAATATAGCTAGGGAAGATTCTGGTGCAGAAAAGGAAAGAAATTGGCCTGACAGGTGACATTGGTAGACGGGTTGCACTGTGGCCACATTGCAGTTTCCCTCCCCCAGGATGAATCAACCAACAGAAGGAGCATGGCTTGGGGAGCACAGGGTCCCAACTGGGATGCCCCTGAGTGCAGAGCTGTAGTGGGACGCTGCCTCCCCTCCCACCTCTTAAAACCACACTGGTGATCCTCAGTTGTAGGTTGAAAGTCATAGAGCAGTTTTTTTAGCCATGGAGAAGAAATCTGGAGTCTGGAAGTATGAACTATGAATACTAACCCTTGCTTTCTTTCTTCCCATCCTCCTCGTTATTCTTTCTCTCCTGCCCTGACTTAACAAATGTGTGTACCGAGTGCCTACTCTGTGAAAGGGTTTGATAGATTGGGGAACAGAGAGATGTACAGAGGTTTAAGAGGTGGTCCTTGCCACCAAAGCAGCTGACAGTCAGTGGAAGGAGAAGCTGTCTGTGGCAACTCTAGCAGGTGCAAAGGCAAACATGCAGGGGGCTGTGTCTGGCAGTAGCCCGCTCATCACGGCTCCATGTCAGAATAGTGGTTTTGTGGTGTGTGTTGCTTTTGAATTCCAGCCTGGTGGCATGGCGATGGCAGAGCCCTCCAGGGTGTGGGGCAGGAGCTGGAGCTGGATGGAGGGCTGCCTTGGCTCCTGGCACTTTGCCCAGTGCTGTTTCCCTTCCTGCACACTTAGAGTATTCCTTTAATGCCGGTTCTCTTGTGGTTCTTCTCCCTTCCAAAGACAAGCCAAACGACTGCTGGGGCAGATTGTGGACCGCTGTCGCAATGGACCTGGCTTTCATAACGACATAGATGGCAACAGCACAATCCAGGAGATCCTTATTCCTGCATCTAAAGTGGGTCTGGTCATCGGCAAAGGAGGGGAAACAATCAAGCAGTTGCAGGTACGTGAGCCCCGAGGGACGCCAGGCCCAGCCACTGCTCTGCTCTCCCCTGCCCTCCCGAGGGCTTGTGTCTTCCTGCCCTGGGCTGCTGGTCATGACCCACTTCCCTGATAGGGCTGGCTGGATACTCCACAGTGCCAAGGGCTCCCTGCTAGATGTGTGCTGCAGTCAGGCCTGATGCCCGGTGTTGGGCCAGTGAGCTGGAAAAGATCCGGGAACTGTGAGCAACCAGGGCTATAGTCAAGCTGTGTCAGCATCACTTTTGCCATGAAATGACAGCCACTCGGATAAAAGTGCTGTGTCTGGAGCCAGGCCCACCCTAGTACACCCCTGGTTAGTTCTGTGCTCTTCAACACATTTGTCCCTGGAAGGCTCCGGGCCCTTGTCTATAAGGAGGGCATTTGCTGGCCTTGCTGTGGTCGTGCAGCTGAAGAGTGCCCATTCTTCTGTTCTTATCCAGGAGTCTATTACCAAGTGGGTGCCCTGAACCAGGGCGCTCTTGCTCCGGAGCCCCTTATCTGCGGATACCTGGGGCCAAACACATTCCAGAACCCACCATCCCCGGCAGGATGGGGGCTGCAGCTTCAATCACATGCGTATTTTCACAGCTAAACTTATTGGTAGCCACACGAAGAGAAGGACTAGAAATATACTTGCTTAAGTTCAGTTGCCGTGTCAGTTATAAATGAATTTTCATTTAAGAGCCTCTGAGCATTTGCTGTGGCCAGTTAGGGTTAGGGATAGATGTTGCTTGCCCCATGTGCTCTCATGACCCAGGCCTTGGGTTGCAGAAGGCCATGTGGAATCTAGTGTAGGATGTGAGCACAGAGAGAGGACAGAAGACAGTGTTGGCAAGCAGTAGTTTGCTGTGTTACACTTGGTGTTGTCCAGCATGGCCCATTGGTACACATTCTGCGGGCCTGTTCAGAAGTCATCGCCTCATGGAAGTGGGATGTGGGCTTCTTGTGTGTGTAACCTGGCCCAGTTCTGCTGCTTGTGGCAACCTGCATCCTTTCCAAGACAGTGAGGGCTGTGCTGGTGTGTGTTCCACCACAGGAGCGGACAGGTGTAAAAATGGTCATGATCCAGGATGGCCCACTGCCCACAGGAGCAGATAAGCCCCTTCGTATCACTGGAGACCCATTCAAAGTACAGGTAGGAAAGGGACCGTGATTGGGAGTGGGAAGGCTTGGGGGGGAGCGTCACTTGGTGGTGGCCTAGAGCTTTTATTCTGCTCAAGTAATTGTAAAGCAGCAGTGCTTCCCTTTATTTAGGGTGAATGATTTTCCCCAGCAAGCTCGCCAGTGAGCCCAGGGTTGTCAGTGCTACCCAGAGCTGGAGCCACTGGCTTCATTGAAAACCATTTCCACTGGCCATTTTTCAGTGCTGAGTGGCAATGTAAGTCTGGGACAGCACACACGGCCCATTTCCCTTGGTACCCCTCAGAAGGGAAGCCCAGACCGGCACTTTCAGCCTTGCAGGCTTTGGTTCAGCTCATTTGCGGGCTTTCTTTGGCCTTTGTTTGCTTGTCCCCTGTCTCAGTCTGTGTGGCCCCTCAGCTGGGGATGAAGATGAACACAGGTCCTCAAGCTACACGAGCACACGTGTGTTCTCATGGGGACACTCTGTCCCTGAGCTTCTGGAAGACAGCTCTGCTTGCCAAAATCTTCAGTCCCCTGAGGGTCTCCACCCTCCTAGAAATATGAGTGGGCTGTGGTTGTAGGCTTCGGGTGTAGGTTGCGTCTGTGAAATAACAGTGTTCTTCCTGCCATTGCTGTAGGTGAGCAGCTCCAGCAGTTCCTTGGAGCCAGGCCATCCGCTGTGGTGGAATGCTTGCTTAGCATATGTGGCTCAGTGATTAAGCAACTTGGGTTTAATCCCCAGTATCAAAAAGGGGGGTTGGACTGGACCTTGTCTTTGTGGACCTCTTGCAATCATTGTAAGATTTGATACCTGTTTCCTTATCATGTCCTATAAGTAGTGAGTGAGTGTTCCCACAGCCAAGCACCTTCTGAATCTTTTTTTTTCTTTCTTTCTTTTTTTTTTTTTGGCACCTGTGATTGAACTCAGTCAGGGGCACTTAACTACTGAGCCACATCCCCAGCCTTATTGTATTTTATTTAGAGTCTCACTGAGTTGCTTAGTGCCTTGCCGTTGCGGGGGGCTGGCTTTGAACTTGTGATCCTCTAGTCTCTGCCTCCCTATCCACAGGGATTACAGGCTTGTGCCACTGCACCCAGCCTTCTGAATCTTGAAGCCCACGTTGGTGTGTCCATCTTAAAATTTCACCTGCTTCCATCTTTTTTTTTTTTTTAGGATTTTTTTATCCCATGATGCCTTTTGTTTATGTTTCTGCAGCAAGCCAGAGAAATGGTATTGGAGATCATCAGAGAAAAAGACCAAGCTGACTTCCGAGGTGTGCGAGGTGACTTCAGCACCCGTGTGGGAGGAGGCAGTCTAGAGGTATGCTTGAGTTACAGGTTAGTAGGCGGCTAGGAGTAGATGCAGTATGTGCTCACACCCCTTAGTTCCCTCACCTTTAGGTGGGTTAGCTTCCATGGCATCTTCCAAACTTTGAGAGTGCACCCCCTGCCCCAGGATTTGAACACAGGCGGGCAGGATGGGGCGTCCAGCTGCAGTATAGGAAGTGGCGGTCATTCTCTTAACTTTGAGGTTTGGCTTTAAAGGTTAACTTGCTGCCCAGATAAAGATCAGAGTTCACGTTTTCTCTGTTGTCTGTGTTGTGATTGGGTCTAACTTGGAAGCCCGTTTTATTGATGATGTGAAGTGGGACCAAAACAGTCCTTAAAAATGGAATTTTGAGGGGCTGGGGTTGTGGCTCATTGGTAGAGCACTCATCTAGCAAGTGCAGGACCCTGGGTTCAATCCTCAGCACCACATAAAAATAGATAAATAAATGTATTGTGTCCAACTACAACTAAAAAGATATCTTTAAAAATGAAATTTTGAAATATGGTGAACCTTGTGGGGCACCGTGGCACACCCTATAAATACCCAGTGACTCAGGAAGCTGAGGCAGGAAGACCACAAGTTGAAGGCCCACCTGGGCAATTTAGTGAGACCTTCCCCCAAAATAAAATGGTCTAGTGGTGGAGCTAAGTGGTAAAGTAACCCTGGGTTCAATCTCCAGTTCAAAAAGGGGGTTGGGGAGGTTGACCTTGCAAACAGGACAGTTAGTGCAGAGAGCCAGAACCAGAATATGCCTCCACAAATCACTGAATGGTAAATGTTATGTATATTTTGCCTCAAAAAAATAGAGGACTACTGATGTATTCTGTGTGTATAATGTGTTTATACTGCATAGAATTTGGAAGATAAATTGATTAATCTTTAAGAACTTTTTTCTTGCCTTACCTCATTTATTACTATTTTGATTAAATCTTAGACTTGTCTATTTGTTAAGAACATAGTTGTTAAACAACAATATTGTTCCTAAAAGAAGAAAAAATGGTTTTGTCATATCATTTTCCGAATTGCACTGTAATAAAAATCAAGTCATTTATTAAAAAAAAAAAAAAAAGTCTGTTCTTTAAAAAAACGCCAGATTTGGCCAGACATGGTGGTGTACGCTTACAATCCTAGCAACTGGGGAGACTGGGGCCAGAGGATTACAAGTATGAGGCCAGCCTGGGCAGTTTAGCAAGACTGTGCATCGATATAAAAAATAAAAAGGGGCTGTAGCTGAGTAGTAGAGCACCCCTGGTTCAATCCCCAATACCAAGGAAAGCCAGATTTTAAAAAGCTCTGATGATGGTTTTTTTCTCTGTGACTAGGTATCTGTCCCTAGGTTTGCTGTTGGAATTGTAATAGGAAGAAATGGGGAAATGATCAAAAAGATCCAGAATGATGCTGGTGTAAGGATTCAGTTTAAACCAGGTTGGTATTGACCAGTCTCAAAAATCCTTAGTGTTAAAACAACTTGGCACAATCACAGAAGTGAAAAATTCTGCTCCAGTTGTGTACAAGGTTGAAGAGCTTTCTACTGTCATGTATAACTGATTACAGATAATACATAAAGAAAAAAAATATTTTTGAAAATAAATAAACATCTCGGGAAACAGGGCCTTGTTACTAACTCATGAGTATATTCTCTTTCTTTTCCTTCCTCACAACATTCTGTTACCAAAATTGGCAATCCAAGTTTTTTCTTCTGGGCCTCATCTCCTCCCAAGCCACAGTGATTAGACCAAAGGTCTCAAGGCCCCCACTTTTTTTTTTTTTTTTTGGACTGTTAAGATGTGAGCAGATCTGCAATGTATTTCCAGTTGGTCATTTTGCTGATGAAGACCTTTTTCAAAAATACACCATCTGGCCGAGTGCAGTGGCGTGCCTATAATCCCAGCGGCTGAGGGAGACCAAGGCAGGAGGATCTTGGGTTCAAAGCCAGTCTCAGCAATGGGGAGGCGCTAAGCAACTCAATGAGACCCTGTCCCTAAGTAAAATATAAAATAGGACTAGGAATGTGGCTCAGTGGTCAAGTACCCCTGAATTCAATCCCTAGTACCAAAAAAAAAAAAAAAAAAAAATCCAAAAAAAGTAATTAATAGGATAATTCTTTACATTTTATAAATTTACTTTTGTGAGCAAAAAAAAAAAATTATACATTGTCTGTATTTTCCTCATTTCTCTGAAGAGAAAAGCATCCTGGTTATCTGGCTTGAGGGAATCACTGCCTTAACTTTATTGTTTTCTTTGCCTTCCCCCACCTGGCCAGGTTTGTTTTGTTTCTCTAATGACATCTTTTTAAAAAATAGCTGTATTCACATAAGAATTGAATATTGACCTGAAACACATAAAAAGATCTAATCATACGTATTTTCCTATCAACCAAATCAGTCCAAAGGAATCCCTGAAGCTGGTGACAGCCTGGTTGCCTTTTTAGCTCATTGTCCTTTGATTGTGGCAGGATATGGTGGCACATGCCTATAATCCAGAGACTTGGAGACTGAGGCAGGAGGATCACAAGTTCTAGGCCACTTAGCAGGGTCCAAAGCAACTTAGTGAGACCTGGTCTCAAAATAAAAAACAAAAAGGACTGGAGATGTAGCTTGGTAATGTAGCACCTGTGGGTTTGATCCTAGTCCAAAAAGAATATTGATTGTGACTTGTATTGGCCTTCGTTTCCTTGTGACTTTGTGCTTTTACTGATCCCACTTCACCTGGTCCTACAGATGATGGGATTAGTCCTGAGAGAGCTGCCCAGGTCATGGGCCCTCCAGATCGGTGTCAGCATGCTGCTCACATCATCAACGAGCTGATCCTTACGGCGCAGGTAGGTCCCCTTCTCTGGAGTTCAGAGACCTCACACACAGAAGGAGAAGGTGTGCCATGAGCAGCCACCCACAGTCTCCTGATTGGAGACCAGTGATGTTTCTGCATCTACCTCTTTCCTGCCAGTGTATTTTTTCTTCTTGCTAGTTTATTACCTGCTTCAACTTTTATTACTCAGAACCTAGATTTTCTTTATATAGTAAATTCCTGGCTCTTTAAACTATGTGGGGAAATACTAAGCAGTTTGCCAAATTTCCAGCAAGCAAGTACATTTAGTGTGAAACTGTATTAAGGGAAGTCTCTTGAGTTTAAAAGCGCTTCAGGGTCCTCCCGAGTCCTGACAGTGTCTTCATGTGCTCAATTTCACACCTGTGTCTTGTACTGTGAGTGAACTCACGTGATAACCCTTGGCATCTCTTGAGCTTCAGAGATTCCCCTACCCCGTGTGGTGACCTGAATTTGCGAACCGCTGTAATGGTGATAGATTGGCACATTCTCTGAGTATGAGGACTGAGGGAAAGTTTGAGAATGAGTAGAGCCAAAGAAAAAAGCAACAGGTTGGAAATCATATTGCCAGCTCTGCCCCCAGCCAAGTCCTTGAAGCCCTCTGTGCCTCCTTTTCTCAGCAGTAGACTGAGGGCATTTCACCAGGAGGTGATCCCTGGAGCTACCCAGGGGTACTTCTAAGTTACAGGTGTAGAGGCCCCACTGTCCTCTGCATCAGAATATCCAGGGGAGGGGCTTGGGTTTTAATCAGAGCCCTGGCAGTTCTTACGATCCATTGAGTTTCAAAAGCCACTGAATGTTCTCTGACATCCCTTTCTATAAATTTAAGTTTACGGATTTAGGGTTGCAGAAACTGAGATGTTTACAAGAGAGCCTTGTCTTCTGGATCTGGTCCACCCAGAAAGTTGGCTGTATATGTGTGCGTGTGTGAGAGTTTTAACATAAATTCCTCAGATTACCTTGTTACTTGTCAGTTGTCTTTTCTAAAAGCAGAGTGCAGGGAGGCGCGCTCCAGTTAGCTCGACTCTGCTGGTGTGTATTCTGGGTAAATGTGTGCAGTTTAGTTGTGATTGACATGGGCAGATTTTGCCCAACAGTCTCCACTCTTGTTGAATGACTCTTGAGCTTCTTTGCCTGGGGGAACTTGTAGCTTGACCACGTTCATCTTCCACATGAAAATCACAGGCCCTCCAGTCCCAGGTGGGGCAGGACCTCAGCTAGACAAGACTGAGGCTTTGCATTCTGTTGGGCAGGCCGTGTGAGTGTGACAGAGACCTCTCCGGCCCAGATGTGGGCAGCCAGGTGAGCCTGACTGACTCCCTCCACCTCTCCATCCTGAAGCAACCCTGAGCACTCACTGTTAAGCATATTTTTGCTCTTTCCTGGAAGCAGGAAAACGAATGTTTCTTAAATCCTTTTATCCCTTTGGCTGAGTGGAGCAAGGGTTTCCACCTAGAAGGCAATCTTGGAATTGTACCTTGTAGCAGCCTGGTGGGGGGGTGGGTGGGCATCAGGAATCATTCGGATGAGGAGTTTATGCCTGGCAACCTGTTTCAGTTGGGTGTCTCTCTGCCATTTATGTAACTACACGTTTATCTGCACATCTTCCTCGAGTATACCTGTGATTGGTGGTGATTCTGGTTGAAAGTGGGCTTCACATCTGAAGTCTGGAAAGGTGCTAGGTTCTAATTTGTGGCGTTGATTACATCCTGTCACTTAACCTCCTTCCCAGAGAAGGTGGAGAGTGGTGTTGTGGTGGTGGCAGAAATCATCACTATGTCCTTGTTTTCTTCCCAGGAGAGGGATGGCTTCGGAGGTCTGGCAGTAGCAAGAGGAAGGGGCAGGGGTCGTGGCGACTGGAGCATGGGAACCCCTGGTGGCATCCAGGAGATAACATATACCGTGCCAGCAGATAAGTGTGGCCTCGTCATAGGCAAAGGTAAGAAGCAGCCTCAGCGGTTTCTATCTCATTTTCACCACTGCTGTCCTGGAGGGGTGGGAAGTCACACAGGCCTGTAGGGCCACAGTGGAAGCCACTTGCTACATCCAGCCCAGTGGCCAGGTCTGTGGCCTCAGCTGCCTTCGGTCAGAACTCTGCTTTTCAGGGGTCTTCTCCAGGGCCCCCAATTTGGTCTGTCATGGTAGGGCAGAGCAGACTGTGAGCAACAGGAGACCACAGGAGCCACTGCTGTTGGAGCAGCGCGGGCTCTGGGTAGGGAGGGCCTTGCGGTGGGCTTCCCACCAAGGAAGGCCGGAGTAGGTCAGCTTCCACCCTTGGCCAATGCCACTTCCAGACTTGCACGCCGCCATTTTCCCAGTCCGTCCAGTTTGGGTATTTGGTCTTCATTAACACAGTAAGATGATGGCTCCTGTTCTTTCAACTGCACATTTACTAGGAGAAACAGTCACCCTTTGGAGGGAAATGAAAACTGCTTTGTTAGTAGTTTCAGGCAGCTCAGGGAGTGTTGGGAGGAGCCTGGTCGGTAGCCATCACAGCTCCTTCCTGTTGTTGAGTGAGAGGCAGCAGGCGGATTCTAGGCCAGCCACGTTGGTTCCTCTTAGCTCATCCTATGCCTGAGCCCTTCTCCTGCGGCAGTGCTGGGGTGACCTCCTAGGAGCAGAAAGCCAAGCGTCCATGCTGGCAGGGACTTGTTTGGTGTTGGGATTTGTGTTTACCTTCGCTTTTCATCCAGCAAGCATGGCAGGGTGGGGGGGTAGGCAACCTTCTCCCCAGAGTTCCTCAGTTCTTTGATCACCAGAGTTGCTCATGTTGAAGGAAATGAGACTTGGGATTGTCTCTACCAGTAGACCTGAGGCGCCGCCAGCGTGTCCTCAGGGCTGGGGAGAGTTGCTTCTTGGTCCCTGGGACCTGGCGCTTGTCCCTACTTCTGGACAGTGTAATGTTTTATGCTCTTTCAGAATGTTTGTGTTCTGTTTCCACATCGTCTTTGAGATTACTGGCCACTCAGGGGCAGTAGGAACAATGCAGGGTTGTTTTGATTTCCTGGCACATGCTGCTAGCTGCCTAGTGCTGCTCAGACTGCTGCAGTGAGCCGCACGCTGCTGCTTGGTGCCTCTAGGTGGAGGATCAGAGTTAGGTGTCTCGGCCTTTTGAAAACCATTTTGTCAGTGAGATTTTCACTTGACTGTGTCTCTGGTGGAGCCTCGGAACCTCACTGCCTTCTCTCCTCCCAGTGAGCCCTTGGTGCCTCCAGAACAGCCTTTTGTGCATGTTCTCCAGCTGAGTGCTTCCTGGAAGACAAGGACGGCACTGCCAGGTCCCCCTGCTCAGATACCATGCTTGGCAAGTCCAGCAAGTTGTGTTGGGCCCGGGGAAGGTCATCTTGTTCACATCCCTGTGGCAGCGTGATGTCTTTCCTTCTGTTGGAAAAGAGGTGTGGGTGAGGAAAAGGGAGAGGTCGCGCAGGCAGCCAGGCCTGCTCTCCTGGTTCTGGCCCTTGGACAGACACAGAGCCTCCCGGGGCCCCTGCTGGATTTCCATGATAAACAGCAACATTGACAGATAGCGAGGCCAGCCCTGCTCTTGTCAGCCAGGCCTTTTAGCAGGTTTGATTAATTGCTTTACAATTTCACGTCCAGCCGGGGGCCACTGGTGGGTCCTTCTGCCCCCCATCAGGTGGAAGAATGGAGCAGGCTGCTGAATGAGTCGATAGACAGCCACCATGTGCCAAGCTGGTGACCTCATTTTGAAGGAAGATGAACTTAAATGAACTCCTTCCTGCCTGCTCAGCCTGCAGGCGTCTCCTCACCTTATTAGCATGCTCCCGAGCTCCAGGCAGGGGGTCTGGGGCTGCTGGTCCGCACTGAGGCCAAGCAAGGGCTGGGGTTTGCCTCTGGGGCCTGCAGATCCTCATTCTCAGAGGTTCATCCTGTAGTCCGGTTGCCCGCAGACCAGGTGACACCCCTCCAAATTCTGGGGGTGCCTGTTGAAATGGTCGATTTCTTTCCTCTGCTCTTCATTGCTCCCCAGAACACTGTTGCCTAGAGTGAAGCTGCTCTTTTTTCCTGGGGCAAAGACAGCAGACTCATGACAGCTGAGTAAAGAGCTCAAGAGCATACCTGTCTGGAGGGAGAACAGAGCTTTCAGCACTGGCCTGGGGTGTTCCCAAGTCACATAGGGAACACCCAGGCCAGGCGGGAAACAGACACTTCTCTGAACCTCTCATAGTACTTTATAGTTAAGAAGGCCACGAACACAAGGCTGTTTGGTTGATTTTTTTTTTTTTTAAGTTGCTTTCAAGTTTAAAAAACTTAAGCCTAAACTAAGCCAGCGTGCTACCCATGTGGGTGCTGGCTGAGGCTTTGCCTCGTGTCTCTGCCCGCGCACTGCAGAAGCCTGCCATACTGCCTCTAGGAGGGACATGTCTTAGCATGCTGTCGTCCTCTCAGAGTGAACCAGCCTGTCACTGCTCTGTCCCCTCTGCCAGTCCTATCTGCTTGCTGGGCATCTGCAGGTTGTGGGGTCTGTCAGTGAAGTGACACACTCACTTTCAGTTGGTTTTGACTGTGGCGGGCACACTGGCCCTCTGCCTTTGCTTTTTTTTTTTTTTTTTTTTTAATCATTATTTATTTATGTAGTTGTAGATGGACAGTATGCCTTTATTTTATTTGTTTACTGTTAGGTGGTGCTGAGGATCGAACCCAGTGCCTCACACGTGCTGGGCAAGCGTCTGCTTTTGCTTTCAAGCATTTGGGGCATCCTGCTCCCTGTACCAGATTTTCAGCATTTATCTTTTTCTAATTTCACCAAACTGAGTGTGCTAACTTTTCCTTGGTCTGGCTCTGCTTGCCCACCCCCCATCCCAGCTGAGATCTGTAAGTGCTGAGATTTCAGTAGAAGAATCGGCCATTGTTCTGCTGGTGGAGCTTTTGTCACGCAAATTTCATTAAGAGACTGGGACTCCAGGTTTTTCAGAGTCCGACTAGATTTTTATTAGCCCGACTCCACCCAGATCCCTGTGGCTCCCCCTTCTTTGGACTGCATCTCTGTCTAGACAACACCCCCCACACACACACACACAGATACACACGCAGCAGGGACCAGAGAAGGGACTAGATGGGATTTTGAAGGCCCAAGTGGACTCCAGGAGTTGTTGGGCATGTAGCCGGCCTGTGGAGGGAGGGGAAGCGATGTAGCAGCCCACACCCAGGCTGAAGGCCCCATTGTGTAGGGCAGGGCCATCAGGTCACTATTCTTGCCCCAAGAAGCATCCTGTGCTTTCCCTGGGCAGATGGCCATGGCTGGGTTGAAGAGCCACAGCTGCCTCCGTTGAACTCTGAGCATGCACATCCGTGGGCCTCAGGCTCCAGCCTGGCTCTGAGGGAAATCTCTATGCAAAGGGGACAGCCCTGGATTTTGGTTAGAGCCACTTTTCAGTGAGTGGAAAACTTCTCCCTTTGTGGACAAGTGCCCTTTCAGCCTCTCCTGAGCAGAGGCCCTCACCTTCTCTGTCTCCTGCCTGCAGGGGGCGAGAACATCAAAAGCATCAACCAGCAGTCAGGAGCCCACGTGGAGCTTCAGCGCAATCCCCCTCCTAACACCGACCCCAGCCTGCGGATATTTACCATCAGGGGTGTTCCTCAGCAGATCGAGGTGGCCAGACATCTCATAGATGAGAAAGTTGGTGTACGTACACGGTCCCTTCCCCACCTGGCTTAATATTAGCTGGATTTTTCTCTTGGATGTCCAAGGTACCTGCATCCCCCAGAACCTCGTTCTTGGGTGCCTTCCCATCCTCACATCCAGGGGGGGCGCCCCTCCTATTTGGCTGAAGGGAAGGTCGGAGGCCCAGGGAATGACAGGGCCAGACCCGCAAGCAATGAAGGAAGCCTCTGGCAGGACACGCCAAGGCTGCAGCAGCTCAGTCCCCAGAGCATGTCCCCTGCAGGCTTAGATGAGTAGCCGGGCAGCAGCCTTCCCCCAGCACTGTCCCTGGGCTCCCGTGGACATGCCCTGGCCGCCAGCCCTGCAGGCAGCTTTCATTGACTCTGGCTTTAGTTTCAGGCACCTCAAAGCAGATAAAGAAAGGGAGTGTTGATGGAGGACAGATGGGCCACTGCTCACCTCAATGGGGACGTAGAATGGCAGAAAGAGCCCTGGGCCAGCCTAAATTGACGGGAGAGTCAAGCAGGTTGGTCCTTCCCCAGGGTGACATGCCAGGGCAATCATGGTGGTGCCAGGATTGGCTGTGTGGTGGTGCTGTCACTCAAGGGCAGTGCCATTTCTGCAGCTCAGTCTGCTGTGGGAAGGAAGGCTAGTGCGAGTGCAGACTGTCTCCCTCACTTGACTTGTCTCCCCAGAAGGGGCTTTGCCTCGGGTGACCTGGGTGGAGGGCTAGGTGCCCCCAGCAGGAGTGAGAGCTCCTCTGTGCCCACACAGGGTACCAGCCTTGGAGCCCCCGGAGCCTTTGGACAGAGCCCCTTCAACCAGCCGCCTGCTGCCCCGCATCAAAAGTGAGTGTTCTGCCTCTGTTGTACCCAGAGGACATCATCACTCCTGAGATCGTCCCAGCTGCTTCTCCAGAGTGCTGCTGGAGCTCTGGGTGTGGGCAGGACCATCTGTCTTCATCCCACCCGTGGTCCTTCTGACCTGTCTGTAGCTCTCTGACCTGTGGTAGACAGGCTGGAGCACCTCAGAGACAGGCACCTCCCAGTCCCCCACAATCAATCCGGGAAGCACAGCTCCAGGGCAGGGGGCAATTGCAGAGCCTTCATCACAGGGGTCCAACTGGTTCTGCTTGCTCGTCCTCTTTTCACAGCACTTTTCCTCCAAGGGGCTCAGGGTGCTTCCCCAACATCGCTGCTAAAGTGAATGGAAACCCCCACAGTACCCCTGTGAGGTAGGTGACCCACTTGCTCCACTTGGGGGTGGACGGGGCTAGAGTTGTCACTGGGCCTCTGCCAGCAGGCTTGGGGGCAGGGAGGGGCTGTGCTTGGTTAGGGGTGAGCTAAGCAGAAAAGAGGTAGATGTTGGGGGATGGGGGGTGTGTGACCCATACTGTCATGAGTGACTCTTCTGTTGTCCACAGTGGCCCTCCAGCCTTTCTGACCCAGGGCTGGGGCAGCACCTACCAGGCATGGCAGCAGCCCACACAGCAGGTCCCAAGTAAGTGACTTGGGAGGTGGTGGTGTGCGCTCCCACTTGCTGGCCAGGTTGGCCAAGGACTGATGGACCTAAGAGACTCTTATTATACTTTTGGCCAACAAGCCCAGGACGCAACTCTCCCCAAATGTTGGGGAACATTGCAGGCCCTGCACCAAGAAGCACATATGCTCGGTGGGGGCTTCCACAGAAACAGCACCAGCCTCTAGCTGAGGCAGGGACATAGGGCTGGCTCCCCATGACTATCTGTCCATGGAGTGGGTCGGGGCAGAATTGTCACTTATTCTCCACATATAGGTGGGCTGTGGGTGCAGTTTAACTTTAACCTGAGCCTCCTCTGCTGCTCCTCTCTCTGTACTCCCTGGAGATCCTCCTCCTGGCCCAAAGCTCCACATTGCCACACCCTGCTCTCCCAAGCAGTCCCCTGCTTCTTGGTGACCCTTCCTACTCTTTGGCCTCATGGGGACATTCTCCCTCTCTTCTTAGGAAGGCATTCTTTCTGTTTCCTGAGCTTTTCAGAAAGCAAACAAATATGGAATTAGGTCTGCTGAGTGACACCTCCCTGGGAAAACTGGGTGTCAAGAGAAAGTGCCCATGAGGGGCTGGGGTTTTGGCTCAGTGGTTGAGCGCTTGCCTTGCATGTGTAAGGCACTGAGTTCGATTCTTAGCACTACATATAAATAAATAGATAGATAATATTGTGTCCATCTACAACTAAAAAAAAAATTAAAGAGAAAGAGAGAAAGAAAGTGCCTGTGTGGACAGAGTCCCTCCCAACTCTGGACCCCTCACCAATTCCAGGAGTCAGGCTAGGGTTTACTGCTGGGCTGGTCCCTCTTGCTCAGCCTGCACAAAACAGAGTCCCTTACCTTGGCCAGTAGAATTCAGGCTTCTACCTACCTGAAGTTCCCGTCTTTCTGGAAAGCCTTGTTCAGGCTGCAGTTGCTCCTCATAACAGATCAGGCTGCAGGATGGCCTGTCAACCTTGCTCAAGGGACATGGCCCCTTTTCCCTGGAGCAGAGCCTAGAGGCCCATACTCTGTCAGCAGAAATACCCTCCCCTGGATGGGGGAGGCTCTACTTCAGGCATCCATAAAGTGATGGGTCGAGGTAGATTTCTTAAGTATTTGCAAGCTCCGGGGCTGTATGGCTGGATTGTTTCCCCCTCCTCCCACCTGTATTTTATTACTCAGTGTTTCAGACTTCAACAGGAACTTCACTGTGAATTTTGCTGGCCACCTGGCAGAAAAGGTGTCCTCACAGAACAGAGTCATTGCATGATGCTCTGGTCTGCAGAGTGATGGGGTTGCATTCACATTGGCCCCATTGTGCCCAGACAGAAGACCTGGGAGAAGCCTGAGACATGGCACACTGAGCCCTGAGAGGGCAGCTCTCCTCCCCTGGGAAGCTGTCCTGGGTTTGTGGCTCTGCAGAGGCCGTGAGGCAGGCCAGGAGAGAGATGAGCAGAAGGGATAACAGGAGAGCAAGCCTCTGTGCTATGTTAGCAGCAGAGACACTCAGTGTGGGTTCAGTGTGTCCTCTTCCCCACGTTCAGTCTCCCAAGCCTGCTGGCAGGGGAGCCAGGCTTCTGCACGGGGCATGATCAGGAGCACGTCCTCCTGCCGCCTGCATACCAGCTCTGACAGAAAAGGTGTTGAAGGGGGTCTGTGTGCCCGAGCAGGCAGACGCTCGAGCAGCCTGGCCTCACCAGAAAGCAGCTCCAGCTTCACGCTGTGGTCAGGGATTTTAGCCCCTTCATCGACCCCTGGGCTGGGTGCTGCTGCTTTGTCCTCTGTCACTGAGTCTCTCTATTGCTGGCATAGCAAAGAGGAAACACCAAGGACAGCATAGAACCGCCTCCACATGTCCTCTGTCCCTCTCTTCCCACCCAAGAAAGGCTGAGGCAGATCACAGTCCTGCGGCCTTGCATGCTCACCCAGAGGTCGTCTGTCATTGGACAGAAGGGCCAGGTAAACCCTTTGTCCATGGAAGACAGGTCTGGGGGCCTGGGATGGCCATCGCTCTGCCTCCCAGAGCTCTCCACTCCCAGCTCAGCTCCATCTGCAGAGAACAGGGCCTTATCATGCTCATCGCCAGCCCCTGCCTCACACCGGCCATTTTCAGCCCTCCTGCCTGTGGTGCCTTCCTCCCAGGCTGGGGCCCTGACTGCCCTTTGTTCCTCGCGTAGACCAGCAGAGCCAGCCGCAGAGCAGCCAGCCTGACTACAGCAAGGCCTGGGAAGACTACTACAAGAAGCAGAGTAAGTGCCGCGGCTTCGGGCACAGGCCCACCCCTGCAGCCTCAGCCCAGCTGCTCCTGGGCCTGTCATCTGTGCTTTGTCACCTTCCCCACAGCTGGACCTCAGTACTCACACCTTGTCACCCACTGCCTGTTGGACCTGGCTTGGTCCCTGTGGAGCTGAAAGGCTCCTATTAGTGCTGCCACCCACCCAGGCATCCTGTTCTCTGTGTGTCTCACTGATGCCCATTTTTGGCATTTCAGGATAGCTAAAGAGAAGAGAAATGGTGGAATTCGGGGAAGGGACCCTAAGCTGGAATAGGTGCCCGGTTGTTTTCTTGCTGTATAAGTCTTTTTTTCTTACCTGTACCAGAAACTAAACTAGTCTTCAAAAGAGGGGAAGGGCGGCTGGGGCTGGAGCTCAGTGGGTACTGCGCTTGCCTAGCACAGTGTGGCACTGGGCTCGATCCCTAGCACCATATAAAAAATAAATAAGTAAAGGTATTGTGTCCATCTACAACTAATTTTTTTTCAATATTTATTTTTTAGTTGTATTTTTAGTTGTATTCGGACACAATATTTTATTTATGTGGTGCTGAGGATCGAACCCAGGGCCTAGCACATGCCAGGCGAGTGCTTTACCACTGAACCACAACCCAGCCCAAAAAAATATTTTTTAAAAAAAATTAAATTAAAAGGGGAGGGGGGAGTACATAGCAGCAAAAGCCCTTGTTCAGGACTTCACATCAGCACCAAGCCCGAGCGCATTTCCCGACTCCCTGACCAGAACATGGGGTATGGCCTGCAGGGGGTTTCCGTGACTGGCATCTTCAGGGTGGAACTTCTGGCTGACCCAACTTGGGTCAGAGGCTGTCAAACACCTGTTTTGGGAACCCTAGCGGCCATATTGTTACCAGGTCCATACCCCTTCTGGGGCCAGGGTGGGGGTGCCAAGGTGACCCTCATCAGCAGGGAACCTGCTAGCAGTTCTGGTGCCCTTTCTTCCCTGACCTGAACCCACCCTAGACGCGTGGGGTATGTACATCAAGCTGTGAGGGATTCGGGTGTTCCCTGTAGACTCCACGCCAGGCATTCCATCCACCTCCAGTCCCCGCAGCCACTCTTTCTGCCTTCGGCATTAGGAACTGCTGAGAGGCAGGCATACGCAGGGCTTTGCTTCTGTAGAGCAGTTGGCCGTCTTCGCCTGGGGTGTGGGACCCAGCAATAAAAGACCACTTCACCCAGCCTCCCCGTGCCCTCCAGAAGGGAGAGCAGGTGCCTGGGCCCCAGGGAAGGGACTTGCCCCCAACGCTCCCATTCCCCTAACCCGTTTTTCCTCCCTTGTCACCCAGGTCACGCTGCCAGCGCTGCTCCTCAGGCCAGCTCCCCACCAGACTACACAATGGCCTGGGCGGAGTATTACAGACAGCAGGTCGCTTTCTACGGGCAGACGTTAGGGCAGGCTCAGGCCCACAGCCAGGTCTGTAGACGGTCCCCAATGCTATGACACTTCCCACACCTCCCTGACCCCTGTCTCCCACGCCTCAGTGTTTGTCTGATGTCAGGGCGAGTGCAGTAGACTGCAGGGGAGCAGTCCCCACGGCCCAGGGACCTCCTGAGAACTCAGCAACCGCCACGCCGTTCCCCCTCCTAGCTCCAGAGGAGTAGAGCGGGTTGATGGTTCCCTCCTGGGCAGGCCCAGAGCTCAGCACCGAGTGCCAGCCTGCCTCTGGCCCTGTGTGGGCTCCTCAGGCAGGCACAGTGCCAGCTCCTGCCTTCATGCCCAGGAGCCTTCTGCCTAGTCAGGGCCAAGACGAATTTCTCCTTAAAGTGGGGAAGAGGGCCATATTTCAGGTCACCTGATGTCAGTCAGGTCCCATGGACAGTGTGCCGGCTCCTCCAGCCCTGGCATGCCACTGCCCAGTTGGCTGTGTCTTGGGGAAAGCAGGTGTCAGGGCTGGTAGTGGCCCAGGAAGAGTAGCACTCTTCTGCATCCTGCCCAATGTCCCCAGCAGAAGAGAAGCTCCAGACCTCCCCCCAAAGAGGTTTCTCGGGTTTGCATTGGTGCATGGGCACCTGTCGCCTGCTGCCGACTCGGGACTAGAGAAGCTGCCGTGGGCCTGACACCTCCTCTCCTTCCTCCCACAGGAGCAGTAGAGCCGAGTCGCACAGCTGGCCCTTCCCCTCGAAATCAGTGTGAAAGAAAACCTGTTTGTAACAGAGGTTTTTAGATTTGCAGACTTTTGATGAAGAACCTTTGTTTTGTTCTGTGAAACACTATATTTAGATTAACAGAATTTTTCTAAAAATCGGGAAAATTAGTTACTAAAAATTGCTGATAATTTTTGTTTCATTATTCTTGTTTGTTATTTCAAATGTGTAAGCTCTGGGATTCTTTTTGGAACAAAATACCTGCAAATTCAGGTGCCAGAATGTGCCTCGGAGCAGTGACATTTCAACATGATATTGTTTTGTTTGTTGTTTTGTTTTCATGTCTTTTTATTTACAGTTTTTTCTGTTGCAACAGAAAGTGGCTTGGAAGTCTTAGGTGGTATGTAACAAATTCTTTTAAAAAATTTTTTAAACAGTATTTAAATATTCTTAAATGTGTAAATTCATTAAATGTTTTACTTCTAATTTCTTGTATTTTGGCTGTCTGGTTTTATTGCATTTTTTAAAAAACTGAACTATTATGTATTGTAATTAATTATGTGAATTCTGAAATGAGACAGATAATTGTATTGCTGTCCAACAGGGTTTGGGAGGGGCATTTTGTAGGGTTTGTATAATTCCTAGAGTTCTAAAGGGTAATATAAAAGTGTGTTTGTGTGTTAGCATACATTTTTTTTTCGTGTCTCCATTACTGGTTGCAATTGTGTATCTAAGACCTCCAAGCTGGTTTTAAAAAACAAAACAAAAAACCTTTCTCTATTCTTTCAGAAATATAAATACTGTTATTTTTAATATTAAAAAGAAATTCAATATAACTTTTAACAAACACTGTGGAACATTAAACCGTATAAAAATGTAGTAACTATTTTTTAATTCCAAGGTGTTTTTTTGCTTTTTTCTTTTAAATATTTTCTTAATATTTGTCAAATTAACTAGATGAATAAGTAAATCTAGTATTAACCACAGTATGAATTAAATAATTTTGATTTAATAAAAGGGATAATATGATTTTTTCCAATGTTTACTGTAGTGTATCTTGTACAGATAACATGTATTTTTAAAGGAAAAAAATACGGAATTAAAGCTATTTTTTCTTGCATTTTTAATTGACCTGAGGGACATTCCGTTTGAAATGTACTGAAGTTACAGTTTCTGGGGTTTTCTCCTTGTTTTCCTTAAATGCTTGAAATGTCTAACTATTAAAAAAGGCAATTGGAAAATGTTATGCATGTTGTTTAAAAAGGTGTTCTTTGTATTTGACTGACAATTCATTTTACACTCTATATAATAAAATTTCCACAAGACATCTTGTGGGTGGAGTATTTTTAGTCTGCTTGCTCTCCTGCTCATTCTTCCCTCTGCCCCTGCCCACCACTACTGAGACGGAAAGAAGGTTCTTGCAGATCTTGCCGGTCGTCATCTAGCTCTGCAGCAGCCTGACTGCGTTGGTGCACAGCCTAGACGTCTAGCTACTTCGTTAAGCTTATTTTCTTTTAATGGCTTTATGTGATACAATGGTCCAACTTGAGAGCCTTGGTTTAGGCCAGCCCACTTTCCTGTGACATCTAAGCATCTTAATGGCATGACGCCCAGAAGTCATAAGTGGAGTTCCCTTGAGCAGAGGCACCTTGTCCTGAGTAGAACTGGAAAGTTGAGGGAAGCAGCCAGATCACCATGCTGTCCTACAAGAGGCGCAATGCCCCTCCTTTTGCACCCCTCCAGCCCCCACCCCACCCTGACACTCCCTGGAAGCCCACGGCCATGTCTCTGGCTGTTGCTGCCACCTCTCTCCTGTCCACAGCGCTCACCTGCAGCTCTGTGGGTCTGGGGAGAGCTGGGAATTGCCAGCAGATGTGCTGGTTTGTTCTGTTGTTCTCATTAAGAAAACAAAAAGGCCCATATCCTCACCCAGGGGGTTAAACCACAAGGGTCCTGCTGGCTGGACCTTGGGTGTAGTGGAGTTGAGGTGGGCTTGAGTTTCTCGCTTTCGGTCCTTCCTGCTGACAGGCGGAGCTCAGTTGTCTGGAGTGTGAGCCACTCTGCCTCAGCCTTCAGCTTTTACGCCAAGCCCCATCTGGGTTTAGATCCCAGGCCTGTTCAGAAGCCTCCTATGGCTCATGTGCATACGTGTGTGTATCCAGTTCCTGTCCCTTGTCTCCACCCGACACTAAGAGGAAGATGAAGACACATCTGTGGCTCCTTTAGCCCAAAAGGGGGTGGAGAGCGGCCCATCTGGGCCATGTTGAGGCCTGTTGAGAGCCGGAAGACAAAAAGGAGATGTGGCATCTTTAACTACACCTCTAGAGAATCGAGTTTGACGTTGAGAAATTGAATAGTAAAAGCCACTTGGAGAGGGGGAGGGCCGAGGGAGAGGGTATAAACGCTGATGGCGGTAATGGGAATGGGAGAGGGCATTACAGACAGGACTTCCTTCTAATTCATCTTCCAAGCTCTGTGCCAAAACAGCATTTGGCATGGTTCACAGGGAGCGATTGTGTGATAATGAACCCTAAGGTGTCCCTTAATTGAAGACTGAGCATTGCGGTTTGTGCCAAGAGTCGTAAATGGTGCAGGCTTGCGGGAGGATGCATTTTCTTAAATGTATCGGTAAGTACAGATTAGCGCTTGTCCCCAGTGAAATGCCCATACTATAAATTATGGAAATCTCTCTCCCTTTCTCTCTGATGCAATCTTTTATTGGGGGAGGGGGAGGTACAGCAGGAGGCAAGGGGGAAAGTTTGCAAGCGTATGAAATTTGGTCTCTCATTAACATGGCGCCCGCCCGCAGAAGATGGTTTTTCATCAGCAGTCTGCTGTCCTGGAAGGCTAAAGTGCTTGAAATGTACCAAGTTCAGCGATTGTGTTCCATTAAGAAAGCTGCATGGTCATCACTGAAAGGGCAGCCTGCGTTTGGGGCAGCAGGGGCGGGGCGGGCGGGTGCCTAGTCTGTCTTCAGAAGGCTGGCCCCACCCCCGCCCTCCACCTCACATGCACTTGGTCTCTACCAGGCGCCAAGTTCAGCATGCACTGAGGGCCTGCTGAGCTGACCCCAGCCCACCCAGAAGCTGGGGGTGGGGAGCTCTGGCTAACCAACATGCCTCCATCAACACCTGTGGCCTCTCATCTGGTAGAAGGCGGTGTCTTGACAGTGTCCTTCACAACTGGTGACCATCTGAGATGTTCTGTAGCCCCCACAGCAGGATTGACCAGGGACACAGATGATTACCATGCCAGACCCAAGAAGGCGTTGGATACCCTGGAGCCCCAGCTTCCAGCTGGCTAGGGCCCCACTCTTTTCCAAGCCCCACTCGTGGTCCACTGGGGCCCAGCTGGGGTCTTTGAAGATGGGCTAATGCAAATGGTCCTGATAGACTCTTAGAGATTAATGGCCCAAAAGTGGCTTGGCAATTCCGCAGGGGTCTGCTGGCCCTGGGTCCACATCTTGTGTGCGGAGGAAGAGGAAGCAAAGATAGCCCTCAACATGCTTGAAACAACAGCCACCTTCGCTGTGCTGTGTCTCCAGGGCCTCGCTCTAACAGCTCCAAGGGAGTCCTGGCCCTTTCCAGGCATCTGCTTTGATGGTGGATCTGCACCTGGAGAGCTAGACAGGACTGTTCTCCCCATTTCACAGATGAGGGCTTAAGAGTCCAGAGGCTCAGGGACCCGCCCCATTCACTCGAGCTTGGGGGTGGTGGCGGTTCTGTGCTGAAGCCCATCCACTGGGGCCTCGGTGGAGAGCATGGCTGCACCAACAGCAGCTCACAGCCTCTTGCAGTTACCACCAAGTGAGGCAGTTGCTGTGAGGGGGAGCTGTCCTAGAGGGGATGAACAGCAGCCCTGGGCTGGGCCCTGGAAATGTGTAATAGTTATTTTCAGTTGCACATTTGCAAACTCACCTACTCACTAAAACTTTTCTCCACATGTTTTAATTGGTGCAGTGCAGTTGTGCACAATGGTAGGATTTGTTGTTCAATGTTCATGCATGCACACAGTATAAAATATAACCTGGCCAGTATCACTCCTCATACTTCTCCTTTACCTTTCCTCCTCCCTTCCCCTGGTTTTCATGAAAGCCCCCACCTTCCTTTTCCTTTTTCCTCTCTAGCTTCCACACATGAGAGATACCCTAACCCTCGGCCAGTACTCCAGTCACTTCTGCAGTCCGTTCCTAGCCAGGCTGAACAAGACGATGCTCTGCCTGCCAATCTGGCTCACAGGGTCGACCCCACTTCTCCCTGCTGTGATTTGAATACAGTGTGTCCCCTCTGAAACTCATGGAAGTGTGGCTGCCTGGTGGTGGTGTTGGGAAGTGGGGCCTTTCTGAGGTCATTAAGAGACAAGCCGCTCTTGCGGGAACACAGTCGCTGAACTTGGTACATTTCAAGCACTTTAGCCTTCCAGGACAGCAGACTGCTGATGAAAACCATCTTCTGCGGGCGCCATGTTAATGAGAGACCACAGTAGGCGAGGCAGTCCCTGTTTTGTTCCTCCCACACTTGCCCACTTGCCCTTTGGCCATGAGGCCCTCAGCAGTGGCCAGGGCCATGCCCCTGGACTTCCCAGGCTCCAGAATAAACCTCTTTGTAACTGACCCAGCCTAGGGATTCTGTTACAATAACAGAAAGTGGACAAAGACTTCCGCAAGAGCAAAAGTGCCCTGCTGCTGATTCCACCCAGACTTTTAGAGGTGAGAAGATGGCTGACGAAGGTCCTTTTTTTTTTTTTTCCTTCACAGTATTGGTATTTGAACCCGGGGCACTTTACCAGTAAGTTATATCCCAAAACTCTTTTATTTTGAGACAGGGTCTTGCTAAGTTGCCCAGGCTGGCCTCAAGCCTCCTGAGCTGCTAGGATTACAGGTGTGCACCACTGCACCCGCGCTGAGGTAGCTTTTCTGCTCCATTTGAGCATCAGGGGCAAACTGTAACTCTGAAAATAAATGTCAGCCTCAGCACTGACCCACTGGGCTCTCCTGCACCACCCCAGGAAACCACGGTCCGAGGCCTGGCTCATGATCCCCCAGTTACATCGGCAAAACCCTTGGGAAAGAGCAGCCCTCCAGGGAGCAAGCTATGAGAAGCCAGCGCGCCCACATACCTGGTGTGGGACAGATGTGTGGACAACTGCAGCCAGCGGTCGATGGATCCAGGAGGCTGAGTCCTGGCTCACAGATGATATCAAGGAACTCCTTCTTCAAGCACACGGAAAATGAGGCTGAGACCCTTCAGGTCACCTTCCATCAGCCTCCAATCTTGACTTCCCCAAGAAGCAGGGGCCTAGGCCCCCTTCTCACCAGGGGCCTGGGACCTCCAACACCCAGCTGTCACCACCAGCCCTTCCAACAAGTTCCCAGCAAGCCTCAGAAATCCCCGCACCTTCTATCCATGGGCACTGTCAGGCGCTGGAGGCTGCGGCCATGTGTCTAGGAGGAAGAGGACTATAAAGACCACTCTCAGCATGGCTGTCACCTCACAGGTCACCTGCCTCTCTCTATATATATATATATTCTCTTTTATTTATACATACCTATATATATATATATATATATATTTTAATATTTTTAGTTGTAGATGGAATCAGTATTTTTATTTTATTTACTTATTTTTATGTGGTGCTGATGATCGAACCCAGTGCTTCATATGTGCGAGGCGAGCGCTCCATCACTGATCTATAGCCCTAGTCCCTATATATATATATGTATGTGTACGTGTGTATATATATATTTTAACATTTTATTTTTTAGTTGTAGGTGGACACAATACCTTTATTTTATTTTCATGTGGTGCTGAGGATCCAACCCAGTGCCCCACGCATGCTAGGCCAGCGCTCTTCCTCTGAGCGCTGGCTTTTGTTCTCAACCAGGACAGCCAATTTCCAGTTTTCTATGTGACTTGAATGGACCACTTCCCCCACCTTTTTTCTTCTTCTTTCAGTAGTGGGGATTGAACCCAGGGGAGCTCTGTCATTGAGCTACATGTTCAGTCAGTCCTTTCATATTTTTTATTTTTGAGACATGGTCTTGCTAAGTTGCTTAGGTCCTCACTATACTGCTAAGGCTGGCCTCAGACTTGCAATCTGCCTGCCTCAGCCCCTAAGTCACTGCGATACAGGTGTACACCACTGCACCCAACAAATAGGTCACACCTCTTGACGTCAGTTTCGCTTCCTTGAAATCAGACAACACCAGTGGTTCCAAATTGTGTTAGGCTGGGTCTGGTGTGCAATATTTGACTCAATGTTTAATAAAAGACAAGTTATTAAATGTGTTTAAACATTCTAACTTTTTTTTAACAACTCGTATTTAGCTCAGTGGTGGAGTATG